ATGGAACAACTTCCCAAATCAACCTCCACCTTTAAGAACTCCAGCATATCATCTACATTGCCTTTTTGTGATGCTTGTCACCTAGGAAAAATGCAGGAATAATTTTCCCCTCTCTCACTCAAGAGCTACTTCTCCCTTAGAACTTGTGCACAGTGATGTTTGGGGATGAGCCCCTATAATGTCTTTTGAAGGATTCCAATATTTGTTGCATTTATAGATGACTTTAGTAGGTTTACCTGGCCTTTCCCTTTAAGGACTAAAGGTGAAGTTAGATCCCCTTTATTAGATTTCATCACTTAGTGAGAGACAATTCAACACCAAACTTAAGTGTCTACATTCTGATCAAGGAGGAGAGTATAAAGGACTTATTTCTTATCTAACCAGTTGGTGAATTCAGTTTAGACACTCTTGTGCCTATGTGCATCAACAATGGTAGGAGTGAGAGAAGCATAGACATGTGGTGGAAACTGGACTAACTTTGCTTGCTCATGCTTCAATGCCTTTGCAATATTGGTGGAATGCATTGATACAGCAGTGTTTTTAATTAACAGAATGCCTTCTTCTGTTCTGAATTTTATCTCTCCTTATCAAATTTTATTTCATAATTCTCTCTCTTATTCTACTTTAAAAGTTTTTGGTTGCACTTGCTATCCTTATTTAAGAGATTATCATCAGCATAGTTCAATTTTCATTCAGAAAAATGTGTTTTCTTAGGATTAGTTTGGTTCATAAAGGGTACAAATGTTTAAGTTCTAGTGGTAGAGTTTATATCACACCAAATGTTAAGTTCATGAGCTGGAATTCCTTTGATGACAATTTTAATCTATCAACCTCTACTTCCAACATTTCAGTAGAGTCTCATACTGCCACACCTATAATTAGCTTTCCTTTTGAGTCTGTTAAAATCAAGTTCTGCTGATACAACCTCTGTGATGGATCTCTACCTGCCACTGTATCTTGTGGTCCTTCGAATTCCTGCTCGCAAATGATCAGCATGATTCAACCTCAGCAGTTAAATCCTCTTCTCCTATCTCTGATGCATCTCTTGCCTCAAAATCACCTTTTTTACAACCCTTTCTTGAAACAGATTATTTTTCCTGTTCAAACTCCCAATCTCAGTCATCAAACTCACCTTAAAATTGTCCTTTAGTTGTGGATTTTACTTCCTACTCTACCTTACCTCCTCACAACTCCACCAGTAACAGTTCTCTTCCCACTACCAACCTGAAACAGTTCCTAAGCTGTCACAGTCTACTGCTGCCCCCCATTAGTCAGTCATAATATCCATCCAATGACAACAAGAACCAAATCCCAGAGTCTTCCCCACCAACTTGGCTTAATATCTTCCTCTACCTCTGCTGTGTTCCTGAACCATGCTCTGTTAAAGAGGCTCTACAAGTATTGAATGGCAAGAGGCAATGAACAATGAATTTACAGCCTTACTTAAGAACAATACCTGGTCTTTATTGCCTCCTACTGGTGATATGAATATTGTAGGCAATAAATGGGTATTTAGAATTAAGTATAATCAAGATGGATCTCTACAAAAGTACAAGGCTAGGTTGGTTGCTAAAGGGTTTCAGCAGACTCCTGGCTTGATTATTTTAAAACATTTAGCCCCGTTGTTAAACCTTCCCATTAGAATAGTTGTTACGTTGGCTGTCACAAATGGGTGGGATATTCAGCAAATAGACATCATAATGCTTTTCTGAATGGAACTCTAAATGAAACTGTATTCATGCACAACTGAAGGTTTGGAGCATCCTCAGTATCCTGGTTTGTCTGTAAGTTAGAAAAAGCCTTGTATGGTCTTAAACAAGCACCTAGGGCTTGGTTTGACAAGTTAAAGGAAGCTTTATTGAGTAAAGGTTTTCAAAATTCAGTGCAGATTCCAGTTTGTTTATTTTTCAAGAAGGTGATCAAAAGACATATCTTCTTACATATGTTGATGTATCTTGATAACTGGAGGGAACACAACTTTAATCCACACTTTGATCAAAGATCTTAATGCTCAATTCTCCTTAAAACGCTTGGTCAGTTCACTACTTTCTTGGTAATAGCTGTTAAACTGATCAGGGTGCTCTTAAACAAACTAAATTATTCTTGACTTGTTGGTGAAACAAGAATGGCAGATGCACACCCTTGTTCTACACCATTAGCAGTAGGTACCAAGCTGTTTGCAGTTGATAGTGAATGCTTTAAGGATCCAACTTTGTATAGAAGTACAGTGGGAGCATTGCAATAACTCACACTCACCAGACCTATATTAGCTTCATAGTTAACAAGTTAAGTCAATACTTGCAAGCTCCTACAAAATACAATGGCAACATGCAAAAGGGTTCTTCGATATCTCAAAGGAACTCAGAATCATGGCCTTCAGTTTAGACCAGCAGCTTCTCTAAATGTTGAGTGTTATCTGATGCGGATTGGGGCAGCAATCTTGATGATAGAAGGTCTATAGTGGATATTGTATCTTCTTAGGTCCCAATCTGATTCAATAGAGCTCTAGGAAACAAAGGTAGTTGCTTTGTCCTCTACCAAAGCTGAATATAGGGCACTAGCTCACACAGCAACTGAAGTTACATGGTTGAAGAATATTTTTTCAGAATTAGGCCTGATTTTTCCTCAGGCACCTGTTAATGGTGTGACAATCTTAGTGCAGGGGCCTTGGCTGCCAATCCTTTATTTCATGCCAAACTAAGCATATTGAGATTGATGCGCACTATATAAGAGATCAAGTATTGGCTAAACATTTGGTGGTCAATACGTTCCTACAAAGTTACAAATTGCTGATATATTAACAAAGGCACTCTCTACAGTTCAGTTTCAAGAATGAAGGAAAAACTTACTGTGATTCAGTTACCCTGTTCTAGCTAAATGTTCTACTGTATTATCTTCTGCTGAAATGTTTGATTGAAATCATGGGTCTGCTGAATATTTCTAAATGCAACTGGAATTCTCAGTTTTTCTAAATGTTTGATTGAAGAAATCTAATCTGCTGCAATGATTCCTGCAGATTGTAGTTTGTATGAATTTTGAGAAGTTAATGAATTCGCAGTTTGTTTTTTTTTTTTTTTTTTTTTGTTTGAAAAATCTGCAGATGTGCTTCAATGGATGATAAGTTTGCATGTATTCTGAAGTTTGTGTGTGTTGTTTTGGTTGCTTGCTGAAGATTGGTGTTTTACTGTTTTCTTCAGTTGTGTGACCATTGGATGTTAAATTCTGGTGCAGTGCTGCTGGATGATGAATTCTAGTGTAGTGCCTGCTGGATGATGGATTCTGGTGCAATTGTTCTTGTGAATTTTACGGGGTGTTAATTTGAAGTTCTGATGCAGTTTTTTTTTTGTTCGTTGCACTGGACAGATGTATTCTGAAGTTTGTGTGTTACTGGTGTTCAGTTGCTAAAATGTTCTGATGCAGTTGCAGTTCTGATGCAGTGTTTTGGTTCAGTTGCACTGGACAGGTGTATTCTGAAGTTTGTGTGTTACTGGTGTTCAGTTGCTGAAATGTTCTGATGCAGTTGCAGTTCCTGATTACTGCTGAATGTGGTTTAGTGAAGAACTTGCTAAAAATTTGCTGCTGAATGTAGTCTGGTGAAGACTGAAGCACTGGATATTGAATGTTGGTCTCCTGATTACTGCTGAATGTGGTTTAGTGAAGAACTTGCTTAAAAATTTGCTGTTGAATGTAGTTGGTCTCCTGATTACTGCTGAATGTGGTTTAGTGAAGAACTTGCTAAAAATTTGCTGCTGAATGTAGTCTGGTGAAGACTGAAGCACTGGACATTGAATGTTGATCTCCTGATTACTGCTGAATGTGTTTTAGTGAAGAACTTGCTAAAATTTTTTTTGTTTTTGGAGGCAATTTGTTTTGAGTGGGCATGTGGATTAAAATGCTAGGTTATGGAAACCTGGACCAGGGAGTTAGATTTGAGTGCGCATGTGGATTAAAGTGTCAGAATTCAGAAGTTAAGGGCTTAGCAAATATTTAACTAAGCAAACACAAAAACGCTGTCGTTTTGTGTTTCTCTCTTAAAGAGAACGAATATCTGTATCTGTATTTCACTTTCCCCTTTGTCTCTTCACACTCTCTGAGCCACTGATTCACTTAAGTAGCAAATCCTAACTGTATTTTATTTATTCAATCAAATACACGAAATTGAAGCTTTGTTTTTCTTTTTATTTTTCTCTCAATTTACGAATTTCACTGGTAGGACTAAACTAATTTTATTACTATGAAGAAGTTATAATTTAATTAATATAATTATAAAAATTATTGTTTTGATTTAGTTAAATTTATTGTAAGTGGTATAGAGGTAAAATATGCACTACATTAGTAATTAACAAATGGAGCATGTCAAATTCAAGGTATAGACTTTGGTAGAAGAGACTATACATACATGTTTGAGAACTTGAGGATGATAGTACAAAATACAAAAAAAATTCGTGCCAAAAAGCTCTAAACATGTTTGAGAACCTAGAAATATTTTAGCTTCAATAATAAAATGTCTATGCTAGCAAGTTATTACGTACCCGCAAATTCAAACATGTAATAATAACTTTAAAGCATAAATCATTGTCTCAAACAACTAAAATAAATATTTTATTTTATCTTAAACCTTTAATATAATATAATATATATTTTTTACAATATACAAATGATTATTATTATATGAAGGCAAGTTCCTTAAGACGAGACCTAGAAAAATTATAATTTATTAAAATGTAGAATTTATTTTTATTTATAACTGGCTCAAGTTGGGATCAGAATTTTTGATGAATCTATTCATTTTATATTGGGTAACTTTGTATATAGATAATATTATTCTTAGTAAAAATAGAAATGAAAATATCTCAATTACTTCTATAATGAATACGTTTATCAAAGCAACTTGATTATGCAAGTAAGTTAAATTTTATTTGAATGTATGCATGCCATTCTGAACACAAATGACTATCCAATACGGTGGACTATTTTCCCTTGTTCAGTCCACAAAGGCACTAAAGCAATTTCGAACACGAGCTAGTGATGTGAGCAACGAAGGAATCGAGCTCCATGCGGGAAACTCCTGCTTCATCCATTGATTCTCGCACTTTTCCACCAATTTCTGCAGCTCTCTTCCTCATTTCATCTCCCTCCTTCGATGCCATTAATCTTTTCACAACATTTTCGACTACCTCTGATGTTACTGTCTCGTGCCGCTCTGCCCAGTCCCTAACAACAATTCCAAGTTTCAGTACTTGTGTTATAAGCACTGCGTTTCTGGGTTGATCAGAATGCATCGGCCATGCCCCTATTGGCACTCCCATGCTTATACTCTCCATGCAAGAATTCCACCCACAGTGACTCAAAAATCCGCCTGTTGCTGGATGGCCTAAAATTTCAAGTTGGGGCGCCCAGTCTCTCACTATCAATCCCATATCTTTAACTGAGTCTTCATATCCTCTTGGGAGCTCAACACTTCTCACTTCTCCATCGAACACGTCTCCTTTATCAGCATCTCTCACTACCCAAATAAACTTTTGATTGCTTTGCTTCAAGCCAAGGGCAAGCTCCTTGATTTGCTCATCGTTTAGGGCAGTTGTTGTCCCAAAAGACACATAAATCACTGAGTTTGGTGCTTGTTTATCAAGCCATTCAAAGCAAAAATGACTGCTATTTGAGCCTTTAAATTTAGGTATTTTCACAGGGTTGAATGGCCCTAAGGCCCAATTCTTAATTTTTGATTCCATTGTTGCTCTATCTAGCAAATCCAAGTAAGCATCTTCTAAGACTCTGCAAGAGTTGTAAACATTCCCAGAATTGAACTTTTGGTAGTCGTATTCAGACGCAACCGAATCCAAGAACTCTTTGGTGAAACAATCTTCTAAGGAAGGGATGTCTTTTGGGAATACATCATTGGCCTCAATAGAATTCCCCATCGTTTCCAATATGTACAAGTAAACAGTAAAAGCTGATACGCTATGAAAAGAGTAAGATTCTATATTGGGGATTAAACGAACTTCTTGAATCACAGATCCCATCATGGAGTCATGAATGACAATCACTTTTCTAACCCTGGAAGAAAGATTGCGTAAAAGTTGAGACAGTGGCTGACGGAGGTGTTTAGAACAGTCAAAGCATGGTTGCATATGAGAAGGAAACTTACATGTTGCGCTGGGATCAGGAGGGGGGGAAAGAAATGAAGGGATTTCGAAGTTATGAAAATGAATGTTTGCAGTGGTGAGTGGGTTCCAGCCGTGGACCCGAAGCTTGGCCTGGCGGTTGTGGGAGGCGGTGCCTACGTAATGAACGGGAATATCATAGGAGAAGATGAGGCGGGAAAGTTGGAGGAGCTGATTAAGATGGCCTTGTGCTGGAAATGGCACCACCACCACAACAACTTCTTCTTCTTCTTTAAGTACGCCATTTTGGCTATGGTTTTGGTTGTCTTCGTTGATTTCCATTTAATTAAATTTAGAGAGAAGATTGCGAATAGCTGTGAGGTTTGATGCTTCTTGGTTGTATATATTTGGGTTTATATACGTTCAAATATATATTTATATATATTATGCAAATCAACTATCAGTAATTAGTAATTAGTATTTAGTTTTTATTTTTTGTATTTTAATAAATTAATAACTAATCTCTTATTTTTTATGTGTACCATCAAAACTTCAAGACATCCAAACTAAAGTCAGAGTCTATATATTTATGATGATGATATGAATTTATATGTCTTTGATGACTCTTGTCAAATTATATTTGCAAATAATGACTTTGTTAATTGAGAAAACAGCGGAAATCCTGTTATATAAAAGGAGGTACTATCACTTATACTATATATTCAGAGAATAAGTCAGGCATGACAAATAGAAAAGTACATACAATCAGCCGTGAAGCTGTAACTATGAGGATTGGTTTTTAAGTTGCTTTCGTGTTTGGGTTTATACAGTGAAAATCAGGATATTGTCAAAAAAAAAAAAAAAAAAAAAAAAAAAAAAAAAAAAAAAAAAAAAACCAATTTAATATTGATTTAGATACTCATTTTAGTTTATGGTTAAAGATATAAGTCAAAATTACGTTGGCAAAAAACTATGTGAATTTCTTTGTCTGAAAAGTAGCGAAACGACTATTATAATAAAAGTTACTATCACATTATGTTTAGAAAAAGTCAAATATTTAGGAAGTTTATTATATAATAACGCCTATTAATGAGGCTTATAACTTGTAACTATTTATCTCTAATAGTATCTCCAAAATGCTTTTTATTTTAAAAAACATCTTTCACATAAATAAAGAGTCTCTTTATTAATTTCTAAATATAAAGAACAAATTTTTTATCCAAATCCAATAGACTCTTTAAATTTAATGAAGATACTCTTTATTTTTAAGAAAGAGACTTAATAGAAGAGAGAAGTAATAAATAAAATACATAAAAATTTATAGTTTATTAATTAAAATTAGGATAGAGAGTGAAATTTGACTCTCTAAATGAAGAGATTCAAACTCACTCTTTAATTTATATTTAAAGGATAAAAAGTTTATTAGACTTTTATTTTTATGGAAAGACTCTTTATAATAAAGAGCTTGGGTCATATGAAAAACCTTTTGAAGATGCTTTAATACCCTATTATTTATATTTATATTTAATAATGCGCACCCGCAACGATAACATTGAGAAACTTATCTTTCTTGATCAAATGAAAATTAAAAACTTTGTTTGTTTGATATATGAGTTTATTTAGAAATGAAAAGCAGACTGTAACTTTATTGTAGATGGAGTTTGTTAGAGTTCTTGAACTCTATTCATTATTAGGATACCAATTTTTAAAGTGTAGCGGAAGATTTTACCAAGTTGATTAATGGTTACCAAGTTATATAAGCATGAATCAACAATCATAAGCAGTAAATATAAAGCACACAAGTATATACATGGTTTGGCTAAAACCACTCTTAGCCTACATCTATGGGACATAGTACAAATCGAAGCTAATCCACTATAACAACAAACATTACAAGAATTGATTTTAGCTACAGCAAAGTGAACTCTCTATTCTATATTACACTAAACATCACTCTTTGAATCTCTAATGCTTCGTCAATTCTATGGTCACTTCACACCAGGAACAATCCCAGAGAATGCTTGAGCTCCACCTAAGTTTCACACGTCGAAGTCACGTTCCAACATCAACAATGAAACCAAGTTCCAACCGTCATTCAACAAAGATGAAAGATGATGAGGTTTTAGCTCAAATACATATATATAACCTGTTAAGGAATAAACTCTCTAAACAGCTTAGAGCACAAGCAATATGAATAACTAGGTTAGCTAAACAAATAAGCAAGAATGAGGATGATATAGGCCAATTTAGTGCTCAATAATTCTTGCTAAGTCAGCAGACAAGGGCTGGCATATGTTGGTCCAAAAATGAAAAAGATTCCACCAAGCTTTTTGGACCACAACCAAAATGGGAAAAAACTTATTTCCCTAGACCATTTGAGGATTTTAGGACACCTGTAAGTGGTTCTTATGACAGCACAACAGATAGGAAAAAATATCTTAGCTATTAAGTAAAAAACGCAACTTGCACAAAACTATTTCAAACATGTGATGTTAGCACAGAAATAAAGTGTGCACACATTCGAAGTAAAATGTGAAATAAAATCTACCATGCATATGTCTAATAAAAGTGTGCAAGCAAACATCCATTGTGCACATACATGAAATGAAAATGCAAAAGGCATAAGCCTAACATAGCTGTACGCATGGAGGAAAAAAAGAATTCCGACTTTTTGTTAGACTATAAACATATTTTTTCTCTTTCTTGTGCAATCACAAACAAAGTCTTACAACTTTTTAAGACCACATAAGAAAATTGTGATACCTGTAAAGTTAGCTCACATAAATATACCATGAATCAAAATTAGCTTGATGGACAAGACAACAAAGAGAGAACATCACTTGGCACAATGAGTTAGACAAGAGATGCTAGCGCAGTAAAAGAAGTGTCCACACACTTGAAATAAAATGCGAAATAAACTGCAATATGCATACGTTTGACATCAGTGTACAAGCATAGAATATCTATGCACACACCATAACACAAATTTGACAAAAATATCGACAAATGGTTAATAGGAAGTTAAAAGAAGGCAAAATATCAAGTCCACAAGTTCATCAAATTTTAAAAGTACTTTGGTACTTGCTACAGATCTTATTCATGCTTCATGTTGGGAATCTACATGCACTTTAACATGTAAATTTTTTTATGACAATCATAACATTGAGGGATCCGCTTCACTACTAAGTATTTATATATTTTTCAGCAATGTTATGCTTACAACTGAGTCATACAATCAGGTATACAACCAGACACAAAACATAAGAGTATAAAGTAGTTATTTTACATGAATTTTGTACAAATTTTGCCTAGTTGTATGACTCAATTGTAAGCATAGCATTATTCTATTTTTTTTTATTTTTTATTTTTTATTAAGAGCTATCCACACACACACAAAATTAATAAAATAACTATTCCGATAGAATGTTAGTAACAAGCATGTGGCAACATATATTTCAATCCTAACTGAAGCGCTAATAAATTAATCTTCAATTGATTATTGTTTATTTCTAGTTTTCCTTTTTTTGTCAGCTATTGTTATCAGCATATTTCTTGATGTTATTGAAAGAACTCAGCTGGATTGATATATATAATGCAAACATGAATAAAAAAGAGCAAATAATTTATTCTGATGTGCGATATATATGATAAGTTGGACCAAGTTTCTTATTTGATATATATGGTTTTTTAGTTTTAGGTCACTTTGAAAACTGGCTTGTCTTCTCTATTCTCACGTTATGGTTGGTATTTTAAGGGTGTAAACTGTTCAGATTAGATCCAAATGCACATATTAACATCTTTTTGTCTTTCTTATATATATGTTGCACATTAATTTTTTTTTTTTTTTTTTGAAATATAATAACTGTATACATTTAGGCTGAAGAATCATATAATATTTGTTGATTATATACGGTTATTCGTTTAATGATTAAATGAGTGGGGATATCCATGTAAGTGTCAAGGAATTTGACTCGTTTTCCTCATGTACAAAGATATTCCATATCTCCTTGGGATTGTATTTCCTATTAATTCTAGACACGATAGGAGTATATTCTTAAAAGAGATTTGATGTGATTAAATGGATTTGGATGTGATCTGTATTTTGGAATGTATATCTCCACAACCCTATATAGTATATATAACAGGGTGCTAATCAAAGGATTAGTGGTACGGTGATGAAGAATATTGCAAAGACTTAGGTTTAGAGAGAGCGTGTGAGGGAAATTGTTGTAAATTGTGGTTGTACTCTTGGGTTTAGATTTCTGGGTTTTCTCTTATTCCGTAATTGAGTGAGCGAGCTTTGTGATCTTTGAGTGTTTGTAATTCTCTTCTTTAAATAGTGCAGTGAAAGCTTGAGTGGGCCTCAACGTGGACTTAGGGTTTATTAACACCCAAACCATAGTAAAATCTCTGGTCTTCTTTCCTTATCATTTTGATTTGTGTGTGAATCTTGTGTTGGTAGAGGTGATATTCTCCCAATAGTGGTATCAAAGCGTTGGTTCCAGAAGCAGACGTTTCAGCAAGTCAAATCCGTAGAATTCACGTTTTCAACGAGCTTAGGTTTTCGTTGAGATCAGGTTTTTTGTCAAGATCAAGGTTTTCACCAAGCTCAAGTGTTTTTTTTGCAACGAGGGCTCTAATTCTAGACAAGATAGAAAGTTCCAATAGTAAAGATTTAACATAGACAAGAAAACTGGCTACCATAAGGGTAGAGGTAGAGAAGTTTAGCGACAAGGGAGATTTTCTGCTATGGAAGAAAAAGATGAAAGTTGTTCTCGTACAGCAAAAGGTTTTGAAGGCCTTAGATGATAAGTTCTTGGTTGAGATGTTAGAAAGTCAACAAGCTGACATGGACGAGGCAACGTATAGCTCAATAATTCTTCATCTGGCTTACAATGTGTTGAAGGAAGTAAACGACGCAAAGACTACCTGAGATATTAGGGAAAGGTTGGAGTTAAAGTACTTTGTTAAATTACTGCCTGATAAAATATTCTTGTTAGAGAAGTTTTTCAATTTCAAGATGGACACATCAAAGGATATTGATTGGAACTTAGATAAGTTCATCATGTTACTATCTTACTAAATTCCTTACCTGAATCGTACCAAAAAGTGAAGAATGCTATCAAGTGTGTTAGAGAGACGTTGACGTTTGATACCATGCTCAATGCGATGAGGGCCAGGGAGTGGAAAATGAAGAGTGATCATAATGATGCAGAATGTCTCATGGTTAGAGAGAGGCCTACCAACAAGAATGGGAACAATAAAGGCAAGGACAAGTATAGAGGTGGTCCAGGTGGATCAAGGTCAAAGTCAAAGCCTTGAGATAAGAGATGTTTTTAATG